GCCTCGGTTCGCGTGCCCGTGTGCACGCATTTCAAGGCATCTCATTTTCATAGCATCCTGTCATCGCCTCGGTTTGCATGCCCGTGTGCACGTACTTCGAGGCATCTCATTTTCATAGCATCTTTGTCTCACATTAGAAAGGCTTAAGGTTTTGAATGAGTTTATATACTCTAACTTGGATACTTGGGATAGGTCCCAAGGGGTACCTAAGTTTGTGGAAGGGTGAGGTTATGGGTAAAGTGTGCAAGACCCAAAACAAAAATCACGCGCGCGCCGCCACCACCGTCCGGTCGGGTGGGCTGGGCTGGGCGTGGGTGCATAGTGTGAGGTTGGGTTGGGCTTATCCAGCCCAATATTTATCTTTTTTGGGCCAAAAACATTTGCATTTTATTTTAAATTTCGGTTCAAAATTAATTAAATTGGTCCAGTTTTTTTTCCTACCCAAACAGGTTCATACCTGTTGAGTTCCACCCGAACAAGTTTTCTACCTGTTGAAATTCAAACCGAACATATTCAAATCTGTCCAAACGGGTGATGTACCTGTTCAATCTATCTTAACAAGTTTTATACCTGTTCGGAAAAGTCACCATTTCTCTTATATAAAGCCTACCATCCAGCAATTCATTTTATGAAATTTTCCATCAAACTTTCGTTATTTTTCTTCTCTTTCCATCTTTCTATGTTTCTGCATCTGTTTTGTAATTAATTTTTAGAAAGAAAAAGAGAGAGTCACAATAGAGTTTTGGTTCGCCAGATTTGATTTTGTAATGCTGCAAATCAAGTAGTAGTCATTGCATCTTGAGAAGTAGGCGCCATTAAAACTTGAAGCACCGGACGAGAGCAAAATCTATTTTAAGGAGATTATGTCCAACACAAGCCTCAATGTTTAAAATTTCTGTAAGCATTTAATTCAGGATTTAATTTATTAAATTATTTTCTGAATTATTTTATTTTGTTGTTTATTTTATTTATACATTTAATTTACACACACACACACCTCGGGGATTAACAATCTTAAAGTAAATTTTGTGTTTTTATTTATTTGTGTTAGACATACGAATATTTTGTTTCGGAAAATTAAATAGTAGTCATATACTGTTTAATTTCTTAAATAGTAGTAATATACTGTTTAATGATTTCATTGATAACATAGTAGTCATATACTGTTTATCATTGGAATTTTGTTACAAAATATTATTCTGTATATTTTGTGTGTAAATACTTTTTGTATAAATTTGTGATTGGTACATTTTTATTTCGTCAGAAATATGACTTCTAACAACACTGAGACTATTATTGCTCCGACCCACACACTTGTTGTGCCAGTGATGACTCCGGCAGTACCGGTAAATCATGAGGAGAAGCCAGAAAAATTCAATGGAAATGATTTTAAAAGATGGCAACAAAAGATGATGTTTTATCTTATGACATTGAATTTGGCTCGCTTCACTCATGAAAAAGCTCCAGCACTGAACGAGGGAGAAACTGATCGACAAGTGGTTGTCGCAGTCGACACATGGAAACATGGTGATTTTCTATGTCGGAATTATATCTTCAATGGGTTGGACAATACACTGTACAATGTGTATAGTGTGAAAAGCACTACAAAAGAACTGTGGAAATCTCTAGATCATAAATATACGACAGAGGATGCCGAAACAAAGAAATTTGTTGTCAGCCGTTTTCTAGATTTTAAAATGATGGATTCCAAGATGGTTATTAGCCAGGTTCAAGAGTTCCAGTTAATTCTTCATGACATACATGCGGAAGGAATGGTTCTTAGTGAATCTTTCCAAGTAGCGACAATCATTGAAAAATTGCCACAATCTTGGAAAGAATTCAAGAATTATCTGAAGCATAAGCGCAAGGAGATGAAATTAGAGGAACTAACAGTGCGACTCAAAATTGAGGAGGACAACCGTGGTTTCGACAAGAAGTCGGGAAACCATGTCATGCAGGCTAAAGACAATGTTGTGGAACATGAACAAGAGTCAAAGTTTAACAACAAGAAGCGGAAGCATGATGGCAATGGTCCCAAACAAGGATCCACTGGTAAGATCAACAAAGTGATCAACAACGGGTTCAACAAGAGGTTCAAAAGCAAGTGTTTTGTGTGCGGCAAAGATGGACATCGCGCTAGGAATTGTCACGTTCGCAAGGACGGAGGGAGTTCAAGAAAAAAGCCAGCACAAGCTAACATAGCTGAGAATTTTTATCTTTCCGATGGAGTGGTAGACATTAATCTTGCTGCAGTAGTCTCTGAAGCAAATTTGGTGGGCAATTCCAAGGAGAAGTGGGTTGATACTGGAGCAACCCGCCATATCTGTGCAGATAAGAAGATGTTCACAACCTACAAAGTGGTGGAAAGTGGAAAGCAACTTTTTATGGGAAACTCCTCCACTTTAACTGTAGAAGGACAAGGAAAGATTGTGCTGAAAATGACCTCGAACCTCAGGGAAATAACTCACTCTTAACAATGTACTCCATGTGCCAGAAATTTGCAAGAATTTGATTTCAGGGTCATTGTTGATCAAGAATGGGTTTAAATTAGCCTTTGAATCTAATAAGGTTGTACTCTCCAAGAGTGGAATGTATGTGGGGCGAGGTTATATGAGTGATGGGCTTTTTAAGCTCAATGTAAATACTGTTGTACCTAATTTGACTTTTAATAATAAGAGCACATCTTCTGTTTATATTGCTGAGTCTTCTTTTTTTATGGCATGGTAGATTAGGGCATGTTAATTTTAATTCTTTACGTAGACTTGTTTCTTTAGAATGTTTGCCAAACTTAGAATTTGATCCTAATCATAAATGTGAGATTTGTGTTGAGACAAACCTCACTAAGGCATCATTTAATAAAGTAGAAAGAAGTACTGAACCTTTAAATTTAATTCACACAGATATCTGTGATTTAAAATTTGTTCAAATTAGAGAAGGTAAGAAGTACTTTATTACTTTTATTGATGATTGCATTCGATATTATTATGTTTACTTATTGAAAAGTAAAGATGAAGCCTTAGAAGCTTTTAAGCAATATAAACTTGAGGTTAAAAATTAACTTGGCAAAACTATTAAGGTAGTGAGGAGTGACAGAGGCGGTGAATATGATGCACCATTTGAGAAATTTTGTTCTGTAACATGGTATTATTCACCAAACCACTGCACCTTATTCTCCTCAATCAAATGGAATTACTGAGAAAAATAATCAAACTCTTAAAAAGATGATGAATGCCATGTTGATTAGTTCAGGGTTACCTCAGAACTTGTGGGGGGAAGCGATTTTGTCTGCTAGCTTTATCCTTAACAGGGTACCCCACAAGAAAATTAATCAAACACCTTATAAAGTATGGAAAGGTCGATGACCTACTTACAATTACCCGAAAGTATAGGGGTGTTTGGCCAAAGTGGCAGTCCCTAGTCCCAAAACGACTAAGATAAGACCAAAAACCGTTGATTGTGTGCTCATTAGTTATGCAAATAATAGTAGTGCATATAGGCTTTTAGTTCATAGATCTGAAAATCCTGATATACATGTAAACACTATTATTGAGTCAAGGAATGCGTCTTTTTTTTAACACATTTTTCCTTGCAAGAAAACTGAAGAGTCAAGTTCAAATAAAAGAACTTTAGATACTGCTATGGGTAGCAGTGAGCTCTCCCATGTATGTTGTCTTCCTTTTGTTCCTTATATATTGTTCCTTTTGTTTCTTTTGTTCTCTCATACTCACATATATACACACTCACTCACTAATTCACAAAAACACATTCACACACTTACTAATTCACAATAATTTAGCAGTGATAAATTTATCACTAATAAAATGTTATCAGTGATAAATTTCATGCTCACATGCATACACTCATTTACTAATTCACAAAAACAAATTTACAAAAATTTAACAGTGATAAATTTATCACTAGTTTAAACAAATTTATCACTAGTTTAAACAAATTTATCACTGATTTAAACAGATTTATCACATTCTTCATTAATACGCATATCTCTAAATCTCTTTCTACATATTCAATGGACTATATGTTCAAATCTCATTCATTTCCAACTCATTCTCTCTCTTTCTCTTTCTCTTTCTCTCTCATCAATCTCAAATCTGAATTGCCACCGCCACTGCTACCGTCCGTTGTCCTCCGCCACTCCACCGTCCACGTCGCACGATCTCAGCATAGACGAGCTCAGCTGAGCACAATCGGAAACTCGCCAGAAATCATCCATGTGTAGCTCAGCGATGGTGGACTATGGCGGTTGTAGATCTAGACTTCGTAGTGAACATTCTCCTTGAATGCGGCGACGATGGTGGCGGATTCTCTCTCTCTCTCTCTCTTTTTTCCCCACCGACCATCCATGGCGTTGATATGCTCGACTTCTCAGTTTCTGGATCTGGATTCGTAAATCTGGCTTCTTCTTCTTCGATCGGACCATCTGTGGTGTCGCCGACAATCCACCAAGCAAATATATGTTTCCTCTCACAACCATCTCTCTCTCTCTCTTCATTTTTCATCTCCAGATCTAAGTATAAAAACATGAGAGCAAAAACGGAATAAACAAAAATGTTTAGGACCTATAAGTAAAAGAGTCTCCATTAATAAAAATCCCATTATTAAATCAGTTCAGTTTGGGCCTATTGACCCAACAGAACTTCTCATTCGATACCTTTGTGAAATTATTATTTTTTTTTTTTTTTGGAACAGGTGTGTAAATTATTTATGAAATTATCAAATTAATTCGATAATTATAGTCACATAAAATAGACCATCCATTTTTTGAAGATGAAATCGTGTAGTTACGATTATCAAATTAATTTTTATTTTATTTATTTATTATAAATGATTTACACACAGAAGTCTAAATAATAATGATGGTATAGATCATGGTATGTTACAAAGTAATTACACGTCATATTCGTTGTGCTGCAGAGCTCGAGCATTTGTTAGCCACCTAACCATTTCCATATTATGCAATGTTTGTGGGTGCAGAGACCTCATTTCCAGTATAAATTAGCAGTCATAATTTCTGGTAAATATACATATTCCAGATTAAAACACAGGAGCCAAAGACCCAGGAATGCAGAATTTTACAATTCTCTATGAGAAAATGACTTGGAATGGAATTATTACATGAAACTAGGTTCAGACACAAAGTAAATAACTTAAACAAGCAAAACCATCTAGTAAACACAAAAATTTATTAAGCAGCTATGAAACTCACTGACCTACAGAACTTGAGGACTTGCATCAATCTCTCTTCCTTCTGTTTTGATTCCCAAATTACTGCAAGGACCGTGCTTTATCAGTTTCTCATCTAATCGATCAAGCCGCTGATACAACTGAACGCTTGTAATTCTGGTCTGGTTCTTGCCGTCCAGTTTGGTCTTTCACAGATAGGCTCGGTCCACCAAAGCAAAGGTACTGGTTCATCAAACTCTTATTAGTTGACCATTGCTTGCGAATCAAATATGGCGATCCATCACTGGATATTCGACTCGGTCCTGCAATATCACTCTCATTATAGACACCCTTTTGTTTATCCGAATTGGATGAGGATACTGATGATTTCGAGAATGAACTTGAACGTGATCGACGTGGAACAGCAAGATGTGGCATGGCCTGCATAACACCTTGAACTATTCCAGAAGCAAATTTCTTCTTTGCAGGACTCGGAACGTTACTTCTTACTGAAAGTGTTCGCTTGTTGTTGGGGAGCGATGAGGGCTTTGAAAATCTCTGTCGGAGTGGAATTGGAGTTTCATCCAAATTACTTGCTGAATTTCTTTCCACCATTTTCTTGATCTTGTCGTTCTTTCTTTCTTTCATCTTGGGCCAATGGAGCAGGCGTTTCAAACGCTGTGCTGCATAATTTACAGAAGCTTGTTTCTTATGAGTAGTTGGATTCGATGCATTATGGTTTTCAACAGTTGAGTCGTGTTGACTCAAATCGGTAGATGAGTTCGGTCCTGCACTACCACTAGCTTCCGAAGCATTTTCAATTCCCGTATGCAAGAATATTTCCGTGTCAGAGATTCTGAAAGAAGTGCCGGGCCTTCCAATACTTCTCATTCTCAAGTGGGAAGCAATGGTTTTTCTTGCAGTATAGTCCTGGCAACTGAAGATTCCTCCAGCTGAAATTAGCTGTCTTGTTAGTATATCAGACGATGCAGAACGTGGCCGTTGCCTGAGAAGATCAAGTGGGGTCATGCCATTTAAATCACGGAGATTCACATCAATTGATCGGACTCTCATCAGTTGCTCCACCAAATCAGAATGAATGTTTCCAATGATGGCTACATGGAGAGCCTGATTACAATGTTATAAGAGCATGTTTGAAGAAATAAAATGTGAAATGACCTGTTTGAAGAAAGTGTTATAAGACTCATATTAAATTGCATCAGGGCATAAATAAGGAATTTTTTTGTTGATCTCTTAGCCACGGACATTTTAGACATTAAACCATCTTCTCTTAGCAAATTTGAACCATTCATTTTAATTTATCCAAAATCTAATTATACTTTAACAAATCTGAACCACTCATTTTAAGATATCTATACATTACCACAATCAATCCATCATCCATCTTCTTCCTTTAGTCCCCCACGAATTTTTGTTGTTTGTTTACTTTTTAAAAAACAAAAAATGTTTTTTCAATTAAATTTTTACTAATTTCCCAACACCATCACCACTATTCTCAACTTTCATTGTCACACTACCATCACCATAGCCACTACCATCATCACTGCCGCCATCACCCTACCACTATGTAACAATCTCTACTTTCACTTTCGTTCCATCACCAACCACCGCCAAATATAAAAAAATATATTTTTAATTCTTTTTATAAAAAATATTTTTCATTAGAAAATATTTTCTATCTAATAAAATGAAGCATAACAAATGGGAAACAAGATGATTTCAGTTAAATCTGTTTCATAACTAAGAAAAATTCTTTTAATTTAAAAAAAATTATTTAGTAAGACTTTGTATCCCCTTTTTGTTTTTCTAGCAAATAAATCTTTGTACCCATCATATCTAACAATCACGACTCATGCTTGTTTTTGATTCTCTACAATTTCTTTATTTTCAAATACATTCATATATAATATATATATATATGTTGTATAAATTGTGTGATAATAAAAACAAATAGATTCATACTCGTTAATTGAAATTTCAGAACAAGCAAACCATTCTGAAATTACAATACATAACAAAATAAAATAACATAGAAAAGCAAACCGAAACCCACACTAGACAGTGTCCTTAATTTTTTTAAATAAATTTAAAAAATTCTAGATATGCATAAAATTTGACAAGAATAATGTGACAATGTTAATTAATGTGTATTTGATTTTATTGTTAGCCAAATAAAATAAAATAAGATTGAATGTATATTTAGCTTTGTTTGTGAATTTAAAAAAAAAAAAAAAAATTGGTTGTGAACCTTAAAAATTAAAAAAAAAAACAAAAGAAAAAGATTGAATGTATATTTAGCTTTGGTTGTGAATCTTAAAAATTTTAAAAAAATGGTTCTGAACCTTAAAAATAAAAATAAAAAAGATTGGAGGTATATTTAGCTTTGGTTGTGGATCTTAAAAAAAATAAAATAAATAAAAATGGTTGTGACCTGAAAAAAATAAATAAATAAAAAAAATAAAAAAGATTGAATGTATATTTAGTTTTTGGTTGTGAATCTT